TTTTTTCTCTTTTACTTTTCAGTTGAGGAGGTTTTTACTGAAATATCTTCAAGCTCACTGGTTCTTTCCTTGGCTATAAGCCTACGGTGAGCTCATCAGAGGCATTCTTCACTTCTGTTACTACGCTGTTGTTTTAAATTCCTAGCATCTCCTTTTGACTCTTTCTTAAGTTTTCACTTCTCTGCTTCCATTACCCATCTGTCCTTGTGTGTTGCCCACTTTTCAGTCAGAGTCTCAGCCTGTTCATCATAGTTACTTCACATTCCTGGCCTGATAATTCCCAAATCTTGGACATCACTGAGCCTCATCCTGGTGCTTGTTTCTCTTTAGACTGTGAATTGTTTCTGTCCTGTAGCGTGCCTTGCCATGGTTCTGCTGAAGGCCAGGCATGACGTGTTGGTTAAAAGGAACTGAGGTAAAGAAATCTTTAGCAGGAGATTCCATGTTTATCTGGGTAGGAGTTAGGCTTTATTTACCATTGGCTGTCACTGTGATGTCAGAGGTTAGAGGCACTATGGGGGGGCTGCAGGGGGGACAGAAGACAGGGGACCTCTGAGGGGCCGGGGTTGAGTGGTTCTGCTGTCCTCCCCTCCACCCCACCCCCCCCGCCTTGTCTGGGCTCTTGGCCCTTCTGTGCACTCTCGGAACATCGATCATCAGAATGATTTTTATACAACCCGGATCTAATCCAGCCCTTTCCACACTCAAGAACCATGGCTGCCTCCCACCTCCCCTCCATTGTTAGTGTCCCAGGGACGAGCCTCAGAAGGCTGTCCACCCTCTGCCTGTGCATCTCCCTCCCAGCCAGGCCCCGATATGCCTTCTTCCCACCCAGGTCATTCCACGCCCCTCCCCTCCCCTCCCCCACTGCTCTCACTGTTCCCCTACTTGTAATTCCTTCCCTTAATAAGCAATCGTTAGAGGCCTCCTCTGTGCCCGATATCCTTCTAGGTTCTAGAAATACAGCAACAAAAACAATAGTCATGGTCCCTGCCTGCCTGTTCTTGTTCACCTGCCCCTCCCTGCAGGCAGGGGTTCTCAGACTCTTTGTTGTAAGTGACCAAAAGTGATGTAATGAAATGTTAATTTATTGCCTCGCATCACTGAAACCTCTAGGGATAGAAGTGAGGCTTCGGGCTTGGATGGATCCAGGGTCTCACTCTCCAGCTCTCAGGTTCTTCCTGGGCGTGTTCTCTGCCCTGGAGACTAGGTGGCTGCCAGCAGCCCCAGAGTCACATCCTGTCCTCTCAGCAGCCTCCAAGCGTCTGTCTGCACAGTTGGGGGGAGGGGGGGTGCAGTGAGGTCTTGGGCAGGCAAGCGTCCCTACAAACGTCCAGTTCTAATGGAGACCCCAGCACCCCTTCCCCTCCCTGCAGACAGGGGCCAGGCTTCCCGCCCCTGAGCATCCTGCTGGCGGGGGAGGGTGGGGAGTCCCTCGGAGGGAGGGGAAGAGGGCTTAGTGTCTCATGCCCTCCTCCCTCCAGGTCCCCGTGTCCACGTGTTCCAAGGACTGCCAACCTGGGCAAAAGAAGAAGTCTGTGGGCATCCACCCCTGCTGCTTTGAGTGTCTTGACTGCCCCCCTGGCACCTTCCTCAACAAAACTGAAGGTACGGCTTGCAGGCTGGCACCCCTGCCCTGCCCTTGTCCTGCCCCGGGGGTCTCCGGGCCCCTCCCCACTTGGCTGGTCTCCCTGAGGCAACGTAACTGTCCAATGCCAGGGGCCATGTTTGACTCCATTCGTATTTCCCCAATACCTGGTGTAGAGAAGAATCTTCAGCGCAGGTGGTTTAGGGAGAAGGAACAGCACCCAACCAGGTGGGGCTGAAACTGATCTGGATTCACACACACAGTCCACGGCCCAGGGATGTCAGGCCAGGGAGCACCCACTGGGGGATGGATGGATGGGTGGATGGATGGGTGGGTGGATGGGTGGGTGGATGGATGGGTGGGTGGGTGGATGGTAGGCGGCGGTTGGGCAGGCAGGCAGAGAAACCCTTTTTATGATAAGACTACAAACCAACATTTCCCTCTTCTATCCCCAGTCGGGCCTTACCCCAATCCATGTTGCTGCCTTCATGGGGCATGTAAATATCGTATCACAGCTAATGCATCATGGAGCCTCCCCAAATACCACCAACGTGGTAAGTATCCTTTTCACAGAGAACGGCCAGTTGTGAGTATTTACTAAACTGGCAAAGTTTGCTCTTACCTATTTTTTTGTTGTTGTTGTTATAAGTAAATTCATTTACA